ACAACATAAAACTTAACTGAACAACAAGCAGGTAGCTATCTTATATAAGAAGCATCTGTCATCGACATTCCTTTGCGCTGCTGAATCGGGTCAAAATTGAACTTTTAAGCATTTCAATTCAGTTCCTACAAGCCATTTTTGACAGGAAAAAACTTCAATTTCTTTCAGAAAATGCTTCGCATATATGGAAGGTAGACTAGAAATTAGCGTGCATACACAAACCGTGTTTACTTCATTTGAACTGCAGCTTAAACCAGGTATCCTTCCTTTGTAAAGAAAACATTCTTTTCATACGCTAACTTTAATATAAATCGTTACTTTTTAAGAAACTGAAGGAAGTTAAAAAGTACAAAACGTTCTTTTTTACGGCAAGAGGTCCATGCTTGCACAACCCCGAACGAAGAGTAAAAGTTACTCGCCTGCTTGTTATGCTAACACACTCTGGACTAGGAGCAAGTTGTGCTGTTGAGCTGCCAATTGACATTCCTAGTGATGATGAAGATGACGATGTTGGAATGCTGAGTGGAGGACCAAACGGTAGGTTGAGAATGACAAAATGTTCATGAGAGCTAACGATCCTAATGAAGTCCAATTTTAGTAACATCAATGTTGTCGCAGCCGGCTCACTAAGGCAGCTGAAACATACGCAGACGATAACAGGGTGAGCTCTGTGATTATTTGTTACTCACCTGATTTTGGAGGATATATCTCTGTTGAAATCTCGGACAAGTCCCATCACATAACTGCGATCCATGAGCGAGAAAGCATCCCTACAAAAACAGCAGTAAATAAATGTTCTTCAACTAGACAGAAGATTTCATTACAAAGTTGTGTAACTGCACAGCTGTACAAATTTGGAAATGGCTCCAAAAAAGCTGATTTTCGTGATTAATATGAAATTTGCATCCCCCAGAGCAGGTGTTAGTCGTAACAGAGCTCCATACAAAACGATTAGCTACCAATCTTTCACTATTTGATACCTGATGCGAAAATCAAACTAGTGTTTGAATTAAAAGAAAAACATATACGCCTCCAAGCAAAAGAAACACAAAAAAAGTATTTAGTAGCTCATGCTAGCTATGAAATTTTTCATTGTGGTCAGTGAGTAAGAAAATGATTATAACGTATAAGAGAAAATTGAAAAAAAGGGGATCGATCCTGAATATCAGTTAAAACACACAGGAAGTGACTCAAAAAGGTTACCTCACAAAAAACGCCCAACTATTGGCGATTGATGTCGCCTGCCTCGGATCCTTTATAAGACGTGTGACCACTTCACTGATTGTTGCTGCTGACAGTGAGTCCAATGCTCGAAT